ACACCTGTTCATTATTAATCATTGTAGCTGTTGATATTTTGTTTTTTTGCAGGATTTGTTATTGGATATTAGCATCGATTTTGTTATCTCGGTATATATATTAGTTATTTTGTTATGTTGTTATTGTTTTTTTGTTCTTTCTACTTTCGTTCTCTGGTTATAAAAATTTGGTCGTTTCTTCTTTCTCTGTTGTCCTGTTCTGTTGTTCTCTTTAGTTCTTTCTGTCTTGGAGTTTGGGTTGTTTTGCTCCATCTGTTTTGTCCATTGTTAATTCGCAATTAAGGTATTTATTTCTTTATTTGTATATCTATTTAATTTTTTTTTGATAATATTGCAGTTTTTCCTTGGTTAAGATGATGTAATTTTTTTCTTCTGTTGTCGTTTATTAATTATTTATCAACACTAATTTAGTGATTTTTTTGTTGTTGCCCGGTTTATTTAGGGCCCGTTCGGTTCGCTAATTTAAGTTTTTAATTCGAGTTGAGATGTGATGTTGTGTGAGAACTTTTTACTGTAATAAAAAAGTTAGATGTGATTGTTTCTGAGAGCTTTTTACTGTAGCAAAACTCGAATTCTAAACTCGAATCAACGAAAAGAACGGGGCCCGAATTAATACTAACATTGAACATTTTATTGTTATGTTAACTTCTCTTTATTTTGAACATTTTATTGTTCTGCTCGGTGTACCCTGTTCGTTGTTCTTCTTCAACTGAGGTATATATTTATTAGTTTTTATTACAGTTTGTTTCTTTATTTATGTTTTCATTCTTGAGCCACTTGTCACGCCCCTCAAAATCGGAGTTAGTGACGTGGAGGCTCGTTTAGAAGTTAAACGTGATTAAGAAAGTAATTAAACATTTAGTAAAATAATAATCAAAATCAAAAGTAAAATATTAAGAAAATTTCTAAACAAGCCTCACATTTTGCTGAAATTAAATTACAAGAAAGTGATGGAGACTTTCACACTTTCTGATAAAAGGGGTTTAAAAACTGAGACTCTAGCATCATTAGGGCTTTACCCAGAGGGTATACAATATTATACAGACATGAATATGTAAATATCATTTACAGACATCAACCACAGTCTAGAAACCTAAGGTTTAGAGTTCCAGAATTTACAATTCTTACATTTATACACCAGGATAATGAACACAATCCTCACTTGATTGAACGGTAGCAACCACCGCAGCTATTCAGCGCTACTTCTAGCGTCACCTGGGAGGGGTTTAATACTTATAGAAACAAATAAAACATGAGCGGAAAGCCTAGTAGAATGTATTTTGAAATAAATTTTATAAACAAGTAAATAAATGAGTAAGCAAGCAAATAAATATTTATACAGGTAAATAAAGCTATTCAGTTCCAACACAACAGTTGGAACCTCACATCTTTTTTTTGAAAGGAAATATAAACTAAAAATTCCGTAGTATAGGTATCAACAAGTAATTTATACTATGATAAATTAGTTACATAACCACAAGCACAAGCCTTATCATCATCGTAGTGGCCCGGTCTGGGTTTCAAGTTCTGCCTCCAAGAATACGATATCCATATCCTGTCCAGGCCATCAGTGAGCTTACCAGTTCGCAAAATATCATATCTTAAGAAATCATTCATTAAACTTCTGAAATAGTTTATTATAATTCCAATAGCTAAAATCAAGCTATTGTGTCAAAACGTTTTTCTTTCGCAAACATGTTCTTTCTTTAAAACATTTGCAAAGTCAAAACTCTTTTGAAACAGGCTATCAAAGAAAAGGATAAGAAATTCTACCTCTCAAGCACCAAACCTGGCTAGTGTTGCACTTTCCTAGCTTATGCTTCCTCAAAACCTTTAGTTTGAGTCTTCAACTATCATTTACATAAAACAATGCTTTAGGATTTAATTATCACTCGTAAAGCTGATCAATCTTAATTTTACTCTTCGGTTTCCTATTAGTGTGCCTTATCCAATTCTAAGTTTCATAAATCATTTCATGTTTCAAATCATCATTCCAAGGATTTTAATTTCAAAACATGGATTAAAGATGTTAATCCATCTACTTTAAATACCCAAATGGAACTAATTTGGGTTCTCATTGAAAATTGAGGTCAAAATAGGGTTAAAACAACATTTTAGGCAAAACAGGTTCAAACCACATGTACACCGGTCGACTGGTGACAGAGAGGTTGTTCTCCACCGGTCGGCCGGTGGGAATCTACAAGGCGAGAAAACTCGCCGAATCAGCCCAAAAACTTACAAATCTGAGTTTAATCCGAGATATTTCAAAGGAAAAACACTAAATCCAGGTTTCAAATGACAAATCCAGTCCAAAGAACTAAAAATCCCCAATTTCCACCATGATTTTACCCAAAATCCATCAAAATCCATTTCGAGCTAAAAATAAGTTTTTCTAATAGAAAATTTTGAGATTCAAGAGAAGTTTTTCAGAAATCTTATCTCAAATCATTCTCTTAACGTTGAAAACTCTTTTAAATCCTTCTTTAATTCGAGATCCAGTTTATTTGAGAAAGAAAACGAGAGAGAGAGAGAGAGAGAGAGAGAGAGAGAGGGTGAGTTCGAACGAGAGAGAAAGAGGGAATGCATGGGAAAAGGAAAGAAAATAAGAAAAAGAAGAAAGAAAAAGAAGAAAGGAAAAGAAAAAGGAAAAAGGAAAAATGCAAATATCAATGATATTTAGGAAAACAGACCAGAAAATGTTTCTACACACACTTCTGGGGTGAAAATATAAATACTGAAAACATTTAAATTCCTTGAAAGTATTTAAACTTAAATACCAGAAACATTTAATAAACACAATTAGTTAATTAAACCAGATTAGGCACACTAATAAATCTCAATTCTCGTAATTAATCATATTTGATTCCTCAAGGTGTTACAGCTCCATCCCCCTTAAAGAATTTCGTCCTCAAAATTAGGACTTACGCCAAAGTGTAAACAGATGCGGATACTACTCACTCGTCGTTTCAAGCTCCCATGTCGCTTCCTCAACACCATGGTGCTGCCATAATACTTTCACTAGTAGGATTTCATGATGACGCAAACTCTTCATCTTCTGATCAAGGATTTGAACCGGTGATTCCTCGTATGTCGTGTACTACTGTACCGGAACGTCATATCATTGCACCACGGCTTCTGGATCGGGTTGGCATTTACGAAGCATGGAGACATGAAACACATCATGCACATGAGACAACTCAGGCAGTAAGGCAAGACGATATGCCACAACACCAACTCGTTGTATGATCGAGAATGGTCCAACGGACCTAGGCGCAAGTTTTCCTTTTACACCAAAACGAACAACTCCTTTACGTGGGGAAACCTTCAACAAAACGAAGCCACCTTCTTAGAATTCCAAAGGTCTATGCCTTCTGGCAGCATAGTTCTTTTGACGACTTTGAGCTGTTAACAATCGTTCCCGGATAAGAGCTATCTTCTCGTTATTCTCTTGAATAACTTATGGTCGAGTAGTAAGTGGATCTTCTGGTTCCAGCCAACAAACAAGTGATCTACAGGGTCGACCATAAAGAGCTTCAAACGGTGTCATGCCGATACTGGCATGATAGCTGTTATTGTAAACAAACTCATCAAGGTGAAGATATTTCTTCCAGTTTCCACCAAAGTCCAGAATACAAGCACGAAGCATATCCTTCAGAATGTGTATAACTCTTTCAGATTGCCCACCAGTCTAAGGATGGAATGCTGTGCTGAAATTCAATTTTGTTCCCATAGTTTCCTAGAAACTTTTTCAATACCATGCATTAAAGTGAGTATCACGATCAGATGTGATGGTTTTAATGTTTTACTTAAATCCTGTAGTAATTTTGTTGGCAGCGAATAACATTGCAGAATCATATTTCAATTATTTTTTATATATCTTGCTAATCAATACCTTAACCTATTTTTTATATGCATTATTTATTTATATATGTATTATGTTTATTTATTCATAAAAGAATACAAATAGTTTTAGGTTCCATTTCCTTCATTATATTTTTAATACTGTATTATGTTTTGTTCTATTTATATGTTTATTTGTTTATTTGTTTATTTTTTCAATTTATTTCTTTCTGGTGTTTCTTCCTCCTTATTCAATTGAAAAAAGTGAAGATCGTATATGAATAAACCTGTGTATCTGTATAAATAAATATGTATATTATTGTTTACGGAGATACACATGTAAATAAATATGTATATATGTGTTACAAATTGACAGCAACTTATAAACAAAGCTTTTAATATGTATCATATTTTGTAAAAAGTTTTAAATATCTTTTCCATACATTTTTTTCAGAATAATTAACAACATAATCATCGTTTTGTACATTTTCTCATTTTAAATTACTATTAATTAAATTATTAAACATTTGCACAGATAATCCACTAGTTACCAACTATAAAGCCCTTAACCACCTCAACCTCACTTCCTTTATTGACCAACCTGCTCAATCCATCAGCCACTAATGTAAACAAAGGGTGATAGCGGATCAAATTTCATACACTTACTATTAAGCAAGCAAAAATCTGCAAGTTTTTTTTTTCTGAGAGATTCAAGGAAAGTCGTCTACATCGATATAAAGGAAAATTAGTTGTTCCTTTAGCTGTTTAAGTGTGAATTACCACCCTTTAAGATTATCCCACTAAGAGGGATGAAAATTTTACAATCCCATAATTGATCCATTTGACGCTCGAATTCTTTAACTGGATTCATAAAATTATGAAACCGAATTAACATCACCATGGTCATAATGCATTAAACTAAAACAACTCTCGAGACAGATTATAACAAAGGAACAAACACAAGGGCGAAGATTATGATGAGTATAATCTCAGAGAAACTAGGAAAGAGATCATGTAAATCAAAGTGTCATCAATAAATAATATATACTTATAATTCGTAGTTATCATACACATCTTTGTCTGTGACGATATGCAAATCTATGCAGGGGAAAAATGAACTATCGAGTCAAGTTTTTGTGTACACTTTTCGGACAAAAACATGTCAAATGTGTCTGTATAAATAGGTCAGCTGTAAATACACACATGACTCCACCTTGAATATAAAGGGCGGCCAAATAAAATATTAAAAAAAGGTCAAAATATGCAGTTCTTTTCACGTTCGGCTCATTTTGCCACTATGCAACTAAAAAAAAATTAAAAAAATAAATCAAGATACAGTGTTCAGCTTTAAAACCCACACAGTAAAACCATCTGAGACGCTATGGAACTAAAATCATAAGGAACCCCGTTTGCATGCCGAGGGGGCAAAGATATATATATCTATATATATATATATATATATTAATTTCGCATAAGACTTTCCCTGTTACGCTTGTAAACTGTAAACAGTCAAGAACACAAATAGCAAAAGAGATCACTTGGAGCCACCTCTGAACCATTCCTCTTCAGAGATTGTGATCATGATTCGTGAATGAAATTGTTTAAGAGGGTGGTTAGGAGGGCGTCCGTCCTCTCAGCTCGGCTCTCCTCTCTAATCCTCCTTTGTTCTTCCCTCTCTCTCCAAGCCTGCTCAATCATTAATCTTTCCCTCTCGAGCTTCTCCATGGACTGTCGCCATTGCTGCTCAAACAACTGCTGCTCGTAGGCACGCCGTTCCATGATTTCCATCCACTGCTTCTCCATCCTCAGCTGCTGTTGAAAAAATTCCTTAACCATTTCTTGGACATCAGTCCCGCTGTTAGTACTTCCAGTGTTGGCTGCTTTCGAAGACTTGTCCAGAGCAGTTTTCTCGGCCTTCCTTTTCCGATGATTACTCCTAGCAGGTTTCTCCTCATCAGTGTTGTCTTTGTCCTCTTCATTTTCTGAGAATTCGTCTGAGGATTGGCCTGCACTTGATTTCTTTGTCTTTTTCCTCGATCGGGGAGAACCCATTTCAGATTCTAGAAGCAATCTCTGCATGTTCTTCGATCTTTCAGTAAATAGTGCGTGCAGTTCATCAAAGAATGGACATTGTCGTCCATTTTCCGGATCGGATGTTTCCTTTCCCTGATTTGTGTTACAAAATTTTATTCCATAAACAAAACAATGCTTGTAATCAATGCTTGTGATTAACACAAAAGTAAACATATACACTCCACCAAATTACCAAATAACAGACATTTCGCAAGCTGTTCCACAAGCATGAATAACAAGATGAACTTTCTCGCATATTACAAACAAATGAGCCATACTAGATTGGAAGTGTCATGAAGATGACAAATTAGCAAACAAAATCAGATCTATAAGATATCCACCCTTAATCTTGTTTAACAGGACTCAAACCCAGGGCAGGATTTATTCCTGTCCCCGTCTCACCAATACCACCTTAGGCTTTTTCTTTTTTTTTTTGTTTGTTGGGCTCTGAATAACCATCTTAGAAACAGGCTAAAGTCAAGTGGGTCAAGTAAGGCTTTTGCAATTTACATTAATAATTAGTAAATTCGATGGTATAAAAAGGCTAAACTACAGGTTTCAGTTACTTAAAAAAGCCTGAGATTTACAACCCAATTAGTGTTAGGTGTGTGGAGCCTATTATCGCCCTGATGCAGAGTTAGTATGCAAATTGACCTTTGCGCTAAGGTCGATGCAGAGTTAGCGTGAAAATCGCCCTTTGCAGTAAGGTCGACACAAGGATTGGAAAGAGAGAGATAAGCCACCCACCTCGGGATCACAGGAGTGGATATTCTAGTTCGGGGTATTTTAGATATTGTTATATGTGTATTGATTTACCTTAATTAACGAGATACACAAGGGACTTTTAGAGCAGCCGTTTTCAGTTTAAGGAAAAAAAGAAAAAAAAGAGACGCCGAGTGTGTTCTGTTTATTTTGTTCTTCTTTCTCGTTTTTACTGCTCTCAAACAGTAAAATTAGGGCTTTTAATTCCTAACAGTTAGCAGGACAGCAAGCGGCTTTTCTTGACCATAGTCAATATACAATTCTTCTGCCTAAATCAGATATTCTAAATTCTAAAAGTTGAAAAGAGGCAAGGAAAATAATACATTTTTTATCTCCAACTCCAAGAGAACCTACCGATTAAACCACTTATAAATGAAGAAAACCAAAAGGCCAAACATTCAACAATGAAATTGTCCCCCAAAAAGATAGCATAAAATTGACATTAACTACTGGAATCTGATTCTGAAATTGCCAAACATAGAAATCTAATTCCGAAAAGCACCATAAAAATGGACGTAGTAAGTTCCTTTGATTTGGTTTCATGTCATTAACGAAAAGAAATCTAATTCCGAAATCTCCATAAAAATCAGGGGAAAAAAAAGTTTCCTTATTGAGCAAAGTGGAAAATAAAAAATAGTAAAATACCTTGTAGCGATTGAGGAGGTTCTTCCACTTGCACTTGCACTGATCGGGAGTTCTGGCGAAGCCTCTCTCCGCCATCTTGGAGCTGACGGCGTCCCAGAGAACCTTGCTCCGCTTGGAAACCGTCGTCGACGACGACGAAGAAGAGTCCCTCTCCATCTCGGCGCGGATCAAGATGAGCTCCTTCGTCTCCGCCGGGCCCCATTGTCCCTGCGCCGAGGCCGACATCACCGCCATCATCGGCCCGATTCCGGTACCGCCCAAGCTATCCTCCTCGTCATCTCCCCACCCATACATCATCTTCTTCTCCTTCTTCTTCTTCTACTACAATCTCGCGTTCTCCATTTGTTGCTAGGAAATGTGCAATTAGGGCTTCAATTTTGATTCTGTTTTTAGCCTTTTGGAGAACAATAGTTTCAACAACGTTAAGTCGTTAATAGCGGCATTTGAGATTTGACCTCATCATTAAGCAGAGCGTCACACCAAAAATTTATTTTGCTCATTTGCCCTGGATTTGTAAGGTTTTGATAATTTGTTCTCTAAATTTTTAGTTTTATTCATGTACCCTCCAACTTATAGAATTGTTTTAATATACCCTATTTTGTTATGATTGTGTTAAATTAATGATTAAAATACAAATTTAACAAAAACTAACAATATTTTAATTCGAACCGTTATGTAAATCTCTCAATTTTTCAATTTTCAATCTCAATAAATTAGTAAAATGAGGCATACCACGAGACTAGAAAGCTAGAGAAACCTATAACAGTTCAAGTGGACTTATAAATATTGGCAACAACATGCTTTATTATGTTTTAATTATACCACACAATATACATGTCCCTGTTTTTCTACATAGTAACTGGATAGTCTCTAGCAAATTTCATTTATTTTTATTTTAATTTTCATTATTTGCTAATGTAATATGATGTAACAAGAGGGCCTTTCAAGCCCTCGACGCAATCATTCTTTTTGTTGAGTAAATGAAAACAAATAAAGGCGTCGTTCATTTTACCGATTCGAGTTTTATTACAGCAAAAAGCTCTCACAAATAGTCACATCTAACTTTTTTACTACAGTAAAAATCTCTCAGATAAAATCATATCTCAACTCGAATTAAAAACTCAAATCAATAAACTAAATGGACCTAAAGTCCATTGATTAATTATGAATTATTCCGAGTTCAAGTTATTAGGACAATTTTTGTTTTTCCTGTTCTTTTATATTATTATTATTATTTGCATGACCAAAGTGGAGATAATGATACATATGTTCCTTTAAATAGTATGTTCCCTTCAAAATTAAGAAGTTAATCTTGATTCTCCATTTTTTGAGCATCCCTTGATTCCCAAGTAGATGGTCAGAACTATGCGAGCGCAATCAATCTATTTTGCTCTATCCGACCTTGGTGAACACTCAAATGGCTTAAAAGTAGTTTACAAATATGAGTCAGTATAAAGGATCAATAACCAAAAAATTATAAATTATAAGGTTTCAAGTGGTGATATTCAATTCTCAAATTCTAAAAGCATAGCAGTTTAAATAAAAATAAAATAAAAAGACAAAGATGGTTTGCCTCTGGCATTTACTCGATCATGTATAAGAGCACAATGAAATGGTTAACCACACACGCTATCAACACGTCGAGCAAAGAATTGGTGACAAAAGAATTCTTCATCACAACCATCATTAAAATACAAGACAAAAGAGACAATTAACCTGGAATTTCGTCCCGCTTCAATATAAACTAAGGGGATTAATTATAATGCTATACATTATCAAAAGCAAAAAAAATACAACACCAATTTATCAGCACTTAATCCTTCAAGGATTGAAAAGCAAGCATGAGTTAGAAAAAATCAATGAAACTCGTTTTTCTGTTCAATGCCATAGTTTTCTCTCCAGTATCGCAAGTGGGTATTTGTAATTCTGTCACCGTGCAATATCGGCGGCCAAAAACTTGTTTGACCTGCATATAGCTTATTTGACCAGCTATACTCCCTCCCTTTTATGAAATTTGCCCTTCAGTGTATTTTGACAGCAGAAATTATTACTGCAAGCATATAATATGCTTGAATACTAATTTTGATATGATCTTCCTAAAAAGCATTTTCCTATTCATTAAGTATTCTAACTCTCTTCCAAATAAGAATCTCCATAAGAATACTTCATCTTAGTACCTATTTCACCCAACATTGAGTACATCATCCTTCTCCTATGAGTTGAACCATTATCGAAGTAGAACTCAGATCCAAATTCTCCAAGATGAACTGTGCTTCTCCCTTCTTCTTTTTGCAACCCATTTTCTTTTATCATCTTCCTTACACGCTCAACATCATCCCATTTCCCTTCTGATGCATATATATTAGATAACATTATATAAGGTCCAATATCCCTTGGTTCCAACTCAATTAGCCGCTTAGCCACAATTTCGCCAATTTCTGAATTTGTGTAGTTTCTACAAGCAGAAAGTAAGGATCCCCATAAGGGAGGTCCCGCCTCCACTGGCATCTTCTTAATAAGTTCTTCTGAACCTTTCACCAAACCAGCCCGGGCAAGAAGATCAACCATGCAACCGTAGTGTTCAATCTTCGGTTCAATCTTGTAAACTCGTTGCATAAGATCAAAGTACCACCAACCTTCCAAAACCATTCCTGAATGTGTACATGCAGACAAAACGCAAACAAAAGTAGCATCATTTGGCACAGGGCCTCGCTTTTCCATCTTTAAGAAAATTTCTAGTGCCTTTTCTCCATTCCCGTGCATACCATATCCCATGATCATGGAATTCCACGACACAACACTCCTCTCGGTCATCTCATCAAAGACACTCCTAGCCATGTCCATATCTCCACATTTTGCGTACATTGACAAGAGAGCAGTTGAAAGTAACACGTCAGGTTTAATCATTTTCGATTCAATATACGAATGAACCCACTTGCCCGCGTCAAGCCTTCCAAAGTTTGCAGATGCGGTGAGGACACTCACTAGAGTAGCCTCATTTGGTTTTGTCTCTCCTGCTTCTAACATCTTATCAAACAATCTCAAACACTCACTATAATCCTTGCTTCGAACGTAAAGAGCCAACATTGTGTTCCACGACACTATGTTCCGTAACGGCATCCCATTAAAAAACTCACAAGCGGCAGAAACATTACCCGTCCTTGCATACCCATCAATCATACAGTTCCAAGACACAACATCTTTATCAGGAATGATATCAAACAACAATTTTGCAGCTTCCATATTTCCCTTCTCCACATAACCCATAACCAAAGTGTTCCAACTAAAAGCGTCTCTCTTGGGCATTACCTCAAAAAGCTTACGCGCAACGTCGACCTCTCCATTCTTGACATACCCGTGAATCATCGAGTTCCAACTCACCAAATCCAACTCCGGCATTTCATCAAACACCTTACGAGCATCCCCAACGCTCCCACAGACAGAGTACATATGAATCAACGAGTTCCGAACAAACAAATCCGAACCAAACCCGAATCTCACAACCTTAGAATGAGCCTTCCCTCCTTCCCTCACCGACACAATACCCGCGCACGCCTTCACCAAAATCGGAAAAGTAAAATGATTATGAACTACAGATTCGCCAACCATCTTCTCATAGTAGAAGCTCAAAGCACCATGTGGGTCATTCAAATTCACATAGCTTCTCATTATAACATTGCAAAGGAAAGCGTCCGGTTCGTTAATCTTACCAAACACGTAAACGGCATGAGAGAGTGTCTCGGGAAACGAGCAGAGCATCTTAATGGCTCGGCTCGCGGCGAGAGAATTGTGGAAAAGACCGGAGATAATGAGCTGAGCGTTTACCTGGTTGAAGTGTCTGAGGCCATGGCAAGAGTCCAAGGCTCGGATGAGAGGGTGGCTTAGCTTGAAGATGGGCAGTCCTCGGTCGTCTAGTTCGTCGGGTTCGTCGTCGTTTTGGGTTGTCCAAAGTCTTGGTGGGTTTCTGGAGAGGTTTTTCCGAGATTTTACGAGCTTTTCTAGGGAAAGTGACGACAACCAAGTTGTGGGGTTGGAGGGCTCTAGACGAACTAACATTTTTTGCTTCTTCTTCTTTGTCTTCGGAAGTGTGATATGGCGGGAAGGATGTGAAAGGGAACGAGCTTCATTGTTTTACGGGTTAATTTTAGTTTGACCTCAAAGAATATCACATTGTTTACCACGCGAATTTGAGTTGAGATGTAATATTTTTTAAGAATTTTTTATTGTAATAAAAAAAATTAAATATGATATTTTTTGAGAATTTTTTACTATAAAAATCTAAAACTAAAAATTTAAATCGGTAAAATGAACGAGACCTATATGTCTATACGTCTCAAGAGTCTTCTTTAGCTGGGAACACTGTGATAAAAGACTTATGGGTCATTTATTTCACCGATTTAAATTTTTAGTTTTAAATTTTTACAATAAAAAGTTTTTAAAAATATCACATTTAATTTTTTCTACTATAGTGAAAAACTCTCATAAAATACCACATATTAATTCGAATTAAAAACTCAAATTCACAAAATGAAGAGGCTTTAATTAATTTTGTTCATTCGAGTTGAGAATTTAAATTTAAAAATAAATAGAAATGACAATGGGGTGGAGTAAGACAGGGCTGGAGCAGATATACTTTCTCTGCTCTAATATTCTACTCTGGTTTTATTTTTCATATTTATTTCTACTGAGAGAGAGCTATCTCCATATTTTATCTATTTACCTATTAAGAATATACAAAATACTTGCAACATTATGAAACCAAGAAAATTTAAAATAAACAACATAATTATTGATACATCATAAAAATAAATTAAAATCGTCAAATATAAACTCTAACAATAACAAATTAAACTCCAAAAGTTAAAATTCTCGAACATAAATAAGAGAATATGTATTCAGGGTGCGGTAGGAACAGTGGAGCTTTCCCTCCCCCGCCTCATCTCTAAATCGGAGGATAATTTTTGGCCCTTTACCCACCCTTACCTTAATTAAGGGCGCATTTACTAACCAAAAATTTAATTTCAGGAAAGAGAATTAAATTTCTAATTTTAGATTCTTATGTTTACTTTTGTTTTTAATAGTTAAATTATGTAAGACTCCATCTAAAAATGATTTATTAAGTTCCCTGATAGGAAAGAACTTATATCCCACCTCCTGGAATTTAACTCATTCCCCCAAGAATTAGAAACTAACCTATTAACTAAATTTATCCTTGTTTAAGTTTAGTTATTCACTTAACACAAGGGTACTTTTGTAAGCACATTTATTATGTTCCTATTCCTTTTGATTTTTATGTACGTAAACAACATAATAAGAATTTATTTCCCCTTATAACTTAATTCACAAATAGATTAGTAAACACTATAATGGAGTTATGGAATTTAATTTCATGGAACTTAATTTATTTTTCTTTGAATTTATTTCTTATACTTTCAATTCCTGATTAGTAAACACACCTTTAATATATCCAATACTCATCCTATTAGGGGGTGTGTACCCGCGGGTACCCGTATTCATGAGTAAAATTGTCATCCCCAAAGTGAATTTATGTAAAAAAAAAAAACACTGTAACAAATACAAGTTGAATTTGAATTTTGTTTTTGGTGAAGAAAATACTGTGATAAAAAATTTAAGTTGTGATTTGAACGTTGAAACGAACGAAATCTAAATTATCAGGTGATAGTTTTTTTTTTTTCCTTTGTTGAATATTTTAATGGTTTTAATATATATATATATATATATACACACATATATTCTTTTAAGGTTATCTAGTTAATTAATGGCGATAACAATTTGGATATTTTATGTCTCAAGTATTGATCTTAGAGAATGAAAATCTGAATAAAATTGAACGGATTTATGGAAATGTGAATAAAATTTATCATATTTTGACATTTTTTTTTTGTTTAAATTTCAAAACATATGAATGATTTGAACCAAACCTTTTATTTTGCCAAACATTGGTTTGAACCACCAAAATTGAACATGTTTACCAAGGGCGTTAAAAGTTGATTACTATTAAGGTATTGTTCGTTTCACAACTCAAGTTTAGTACTTAAATTGTATTTGTAAGAGAAAAATAATGTAGCCAAAAAGTTGAATTTAAATTTTTATAAGAAAAAACATTATAACAGTAGAATTTGAGTTGTGACTTGAGTTGTGAAATGAACAAGGCCTAAGACTTATACATGCTTATAAATTTTTGTATTCTCTTCATCATGTAATACTACTACAACCCACCTTTTCATAACAAACCAGTTATTGTGACCCGTTAGCTATCGTGGTGCATCTCCACCCAAAAACCCATCATTTTAGTTTGGATCAACTAGGGGTGGCAATTTGTGCCGCGTGTATGTTCGTGTCGTGTTTTAATCATTTATGTTTAAATTTACAGCCAACCCGAATACGACTTGTGACACGAAATTTTTTAAAAACCGCAACGCGAACATGCCACGACCACTTTACGAGTTGACATGACACGACTCGAAAATGACCCGTGACACAAAATTGACCCGTGAACCTGAAATTGACACAAAAATTATATTTTTCTTTAGTTTTTTACATATTAGAAATAACTTCAAATTCATAACACATTAAAATATAATAACATCCATCAAAATTAAGCAAATAATAATATAAAATTTCGAGTATAACTATAATGATATCACAAGTTCATAATAAAATATAAAATATGTAATGAAAATATATATATATATTTTAATTTTTTACGAGTTTCGTGTCATGTTCAGGTTAGGTGGGTCCAACCTGAAATTGACCCGTATTTTTCGTGTCAAATTCAGGTCGACCAAATTCTGGTCCGAACCTCTTTTTTCTCAATCCTAACCCACGAAATTTGTATCGTTTTCGAATCATGTTGTCATGTCTTGACCTAGATTACTGGCCCTAGGATTGACGGACCCCCTCTGCCCAGCACAACCTAGCCCTTTGCTCCACCAGACAGGAATTTGAATTTCTTTTTGGAACTTGATTTTTCACTTTCTTCACCTCACTCACTAGTTCCACTAAACACTTTTTGTTGAAATGAAAACCCCTACAGAGCTATTTTTAGTCACCAACAAGCCAAGCTCCCCCATGGTTGGCTTTCATTTGTAATTTTTATCATTATTATTGGCGTTGTTATTTTTGTTAAAAAAAAAATAAAAATGGTTGAAAGTTGTTTTCACATATTCGTTTTCATTTTCTAAAGCTACAACTTGATACACATTTTTAGAAGCATACCCAAACACAATTTCATTTTTTTATTCCTATAATGATTTATAAGAAAATTACCGACCGTAATTTAGAAAAAGACACAACATCATCCTAAAAGAAATTGTCATTTCCATTTTCATACTAAAATAAAATCATTTTGAAAATACTATCAATCAGGCCTTACCCTTTTTCTCTATCATCCCTCTAACTCCCACCCTCATATTCGACACATTATCTCTTTCTCTTCTCTATATCATCTACCCTATTTCTTCTCGCTCTTTGTTTCTATCTCTTCTCTCTGCCACCCTCCTCTCTCTCTCCCTATAAGCAGAACAACGTTCACTAAACTTGTATTTTTGTGCCATTGTGTAGTGGTGATGACTTCTGACAAAGCTCCATAGATAACCAAGGCAAACAATGAAGTTCCGTTCAGTTCGCCGATTCGAGTTTTCAATTTGAGCTGAGATGTGACTTTATGTGAAAGTTTTTAACTATAAAAAAAAGTTAGATGTGACTTTTTATTAGAGCTTTTAACTGTAGTAAAATTGGAATTGAAAACTCGAATTGGTGAAATGAACGAGACCTGAATGTTCTAGTTCACATAATGTCGTGAGAGATAGGAGGAGAGAGAGGGAATGCAATGGGAGGGAGCAGGGACTGTGGAATAGATTATGGGAATGAGGGGCTATTTTGAAAGTTTCATTATGGGAATGAGGGGCTATTTTGAAAGTTTAAAAAATTTTAGATTTAAAAACATGCCATTAATTTCCTTTCTCAAAATTATGCTATTAATTTTTAAGGACTTTCTTGATAGTCCTTGTAAAAATAGACTACGAGCAGTTTCTTACTTTTTCAGCCATAAGATCTATATCAGAATATGTATGTTCTGCATACTTTTTTCAATCTAATGTGATTTTAACCAGATCAACGATTAAAAATTGAGACTATGAGTAGAGTAGATTACCGGAGAAACTCCATAATTTTATTCTCTTCTTCAAATATGTTATTTCCTTCATTCTCTTTTAAAAAAATAATGCTAAAAAAAATCCTTTTTTTTTTTAGAATGAACTCACTTTTATTGTAAGTATAAAGTATATTTATAATGCTCAAAAGATCACTTTTTTTAATGGAAATAAATTTTTATTAGTATATGCTAAAGCTGCAAGTTTAGGCCAGATTAATTGGGCTAGTCCGAGACCCATTATTGCGTACTCGGGACCGGTTTGGCCAGACCTTAAATTTTTTAGGCCTAAGATCGGGCTCGGCCGACCCTTTATCCTTTAAGGTTGGGCCGGTCTGGCCCAAACATCATAGTTTTAGGGTTCGGTTGGTACGAGGATTTAAAGCAGAGTGATTCTAATCATGATTTTAGAACCAGAACCATAATTCATAATTTTGGGTTTAAATCATGATTCTGAAACCATGATTCAGAATCATGGGTTTGAATCACCTTGAATCAAGATGGGGGTGGTTTTAGAATCATGAGTGATTCTGGTTTAAAACATCATATCAGATTCAGAATCATGATTTAGAATCATCCAAACCAAACACTAATTCTATCATGATTCAAAATAACTGTAAACAAACACTAATTTTGAATCGGTATCCATAATCATTATTCTGAATCAGGATTTATGATATCCCATTCTAATCTAATCTATCAAATCTAAAATCTGAAAGGAAAAAATCTTTGGGTATGCTGACGTGGCAGTAATGCGTAGAAGATGATGTTCAGAATTGCATTATTGGAAACCGCAGGGAATCCGAGACACTAGACACTAGACAGACAGCATCGCCATGATATTTTTATTTTTTTTTCATTTTCATTTTTTTAATTTATTGTAATTATATTTCTTTAATTTAATTTTTAATGTGAGGGGGTTTATTGGAGAGGAGAGCGTCGGTCGGTCTCACACGTAGGGGAAGGTCAGCGTGCGTAAGCACCCCACTGTGTTCCCATTGGTTGGTGGCTTTTAATTCCCTAAACCAAAGCATCTTTCTCCTCCGTCCTCTCTTTCTTTATTTTTCACACACACACACACACACACTCCCCACTTTCTCTCTCTTCTTCCAACACATTACACTCACACACTCTCTCTCTCTCTCTCCTTCTTCTTTCTCTCTCTAGAGCATCACACGAATCTCCGGCTGTCCGTTTCACTTTCGGAGCTGCTCCGTCTCGGCGGCGAGAAAGGCCGAGTTCTCGATTCGGTTGCCGTAACCTAATTCGCCGTTCAATCCGCATTTCTTCCTCGGATCGAATCTCTCTCGCTCATCCTTCTCCGTTTCCTCGGTAAATATCTCGATTTTTGGATGAATTTTTGAGTAATGTGAGATTCTTTTTCTTGCTCTTCGATTTTTTTTTTTGGGTGCTTGTTTGAGATTTTGTGCTGTTTTGGCGGTTGGATTTTCCGCTGAAATTTTTGGTATCTTTTTTTGGTTAGAATCGTGAATTTGAAGTGGCGAAGAACTCGGAATTCCAGTGATTCAGTAGCTCCGAACAGTCTTGAGTCAGACAATTTTCTGACGGTGGGTGTAGATATTGTGAATTTGGGGAAAATGCGGGGAAGAATTATTCATAAATATTGGAAAATAATGGTTTTTTTTTTTGTTGCATTTGTTGTGAAAATTTGATTGATTATTACTTTTGTCTTAGGTCCATTCCATAGAGAATAAAAATAATATTGTGTGAAAATTGTTCAAGTGTTCTAGGTATACGTGACTAGATTTTTTAGGCGCTCTCTTGAATGAGGTTCTTTTCCTGCCGTTATTTTATTTTTATCTGACTTAAATTAGTTCTTTTCTTCCAGGCAACTTTTTTTTCCCCATCTATATATGTAGCTGCTGGATGTCAACATCAATCAGAGAAAAGCATTATAAACCTTTGTGTATCAGATGAATTATAATAGCTATTGTGTGCTTGACCAGTGCCGCTATGGGCATCTGTCCGGTGAAATGGCAAGTCTTGTGGCTTTACAGTGTACTGTTGTGCATCACAGTGATTAAAAGCAGTGCTATAAGTGCCGATGGTGAGATTGCGTGTTGCTCGTTTGCTTCTTTTTCTCTATTGTCTGTAAAGTTTCTATATCACATTCATAAAAATGTTTGGGGGTATACCAAAGTAATATAAGTGATGATGGCACGTTTGTAGTATACTCATTTGTCACTCTGTTTTGATCAAACCTCGGATTTGGAATACTGTAAGACTTATCGAATTCGCTGTCGCAGTTCACTTTGGTTTGGTTCTTCTAAGTGATTACTCATCCGTTGAATGTTCCTGCAATTACTTTAGTTTTTAAGTTTAAGATGATTTACGTTAGTGTCATCTTTCAAGGAGAAAAGAAAAAGAGAAATGTACGTAGTGCCAATCATATTACTTTATTGGATTTTTGGGTGGAATACTTTTTAATTAGCTTTCCATCTTGGTATTTCTATAAGCTATTGCCAAGCAAGACATAATAACATGTCCATATTAGTTTCTATCTTTATATATATAATATATATATGTACATATATTGGAAAGGACTCTATCCATTTTTGTATTGATATGTTAATTCTCTTTGCTTCTTTGTAGGTGAGGCACTTTTAAGCTTTAGGACAGCAATTGTTAGTTCAGATGGCGTCCTTCTTCAATGGAGACCTGAGGATGCTGACCCTTGCCACTGGAAAGGAGTTAAATGTGATTCAAAAACCAAGAGAGTAATTTATCTGTGAGTTCCCTTTAACTTTTCCTCGTCATTATGTCTGCATTTCTGGTAATATACAATCACATGTGCACACATATAAGAATATTCATAAATATAGACAAATCAATGTACGTGTATATACGTTTATGTGCATATGCTGTACGCGCTTTTTGGGATTACTTGTTTCTATAGTATCCTTTAACCTAAGATGCGTATCCTTAACCTAAGATGCATTGTCTTTTCTCTTATGTTGGATAAACGATTCTTAGTCTCTCTTGATCTTGACACCTCTGTTGTCTGCAATTTCTGGTCAAACTTCTTTAAGGTGCCAAACAAAAAAATGAATACTGCTTTCTAGATAATTTGGATGAAATAATTTGATATCAATAAGCACTAGTATCAACTTTATGTTTGTGGATATTCCTTTCTAGGTAATTTGACTCAATGAAGGAGTTATGTTCCTGCCTACTACTAGTCTATGAAGACGAGAAATTTTATTCATGTAACTTTCTGATGAATAGAGATATGCATGGCATACAAATCCACAAATAAGAGGTTCTTTAGTTTTTGGATTTCGGTATTACATGCAGGGATATGAAGTGAAGACTGTAAGTTGTTTGCACATGTTTGTGCAAAGTTTAAATATAAATCAGTTCAAATGTGTTTATTGTTGCTTTTGTTAACTTTAAAGCGACAAATTGAGATACTTGTACTAGCACATATATTTCTTTATTATTTTGTTTTTGTATCTTTGCCATATCATGTCTAGGTCTGTTAAATTACCATGTGAACTGGCATTATATTGTATCCCTTTCCCATATCATATTCAGAACAGTTGATTTTGTCAGTCTTGACAGATTACACGTCATATCATTCTGACTATTACTAGGAACAAGGCCAAGTGGCTTCTGCTTTGAACCTTTTATGTCATGGATGCTATTTAAAAGATTTGGATGAATTTATTTCATAAAATTATTAGAATTCATGACTATTCTTTTTTTCAATAACTCTAGGTAAGAGATAATATTAGGTAGCTGTGGCACAAAGAGAAAGTTGATGCTTACTACTAGTTGAAAATTTTCAAGCTTTCTTATGTTTTTATTAATGCAGGGAAAAGTACGGTAAGTTTATATGCGCTGTAACTTAAGGTCTAGAAAGGCTTAATTAGGAATCGAGGCGTTTTGTTTCATCGAGGCGCGGCGTCAGCCTCAAATGGAAAACAAACATTGTAAAAGTAAAGAAAATTCATAAATAGGCTATGATAATCAACTCATAAACTTGGTCCACCCAAAAACATTATAAGAAAGTGCGTAAGGTCCAAATGTAGTCAAGTCCTGGTCTAATACTCTAAAAGAGACTAAAAATAGCAATTCAAGTCTTAAGCCCTAAGAAATTAGAGTGTCCATCATCATCATTTTCACCGGTAGGATCTTGGGAAGAATCATTATATCAAACAAGTCTATCGTCTTCCGAATCAGTCTCACCGTCATCTCCCCATTCTCTTTGGTCATCATATGAATATCTAAAGTTGTGGCTTCTCTGTTTTTTCTGAAGAATTGAAGAAGAGCTGTTCTTTCTTTTGTTTTTGTTTTTTTTTTTTTTTTGCTTCTCCACTTTCAAATAAACTTGGGTTCTCAAAGGGGTATAGCTTTTCTTTTTTAATCCTATATGGTAGCCCAGGTTTAAAATGGGCAAAATTTACTTAAAAGAAAGAAAAGAAAAAAAAAAGAAAAGAAAAGAAAAAAAAAAGAAAAGAAAAGAAAAAGAGACTCAACAACATTAAAATAACCCAAAGGGCATATATGATTGAGGCATTTTTGCCTCAAGATGTACACCCGAATGCCTAGGGGCGGAAGCCTTATTTGACTCTGGCGTAAATTTCAAGGCCCCACAAGGCCGTGGCATTTGAGGTGTAGATTTATTTATTTATTTTTAAATTATTAATTATTATTATTTTTGTTTAAAACAACATTGACAAACTAGATTGATGGTTCACAAGTCTCAGTTTGGATCTAGCTGTCATATCAAGCCCAGTTATTAGTAGTTCTAGACTTCTAGTTTATGCACTTTACCAGTTCCATATGGGCATTTATTTATTTATTTTCAAATTATGGAATAGGAGTAGTTGCCTTTTGATTGACACATTCCTCTTATTTATTTATTTATTTTAATTTGAACAAAAAATTGTTTGGGTGGGGGGTTGTATAAACTGTTGTAGGCGTGCTTTTATGCAATTCCTAGATGTATGATATTGAGTAACCAAGGTGGTGCGGTATGTTTCTCTTCTCCTATATTCTTTCTTATTAACTTCGGTTCAATCTTAATGGCATTTAGCCATAAGTTTTACCGAGTACCTGTAATTTTTTTCTTCCTTTGTGTTTCGATTATTAATGGATCGGAGGAATTAGTGGGAAATTTCTTATGGGAGGGCAAGGGTGAGGATCACAAGAACCATTTGGTTTCTTTGGACTTGATTGTTAAAAACAAGTTAAAGGTATCTTCAAATAACACCGGTGGGGGGTAGTAGGTGCTTGAATTTTTTGCCAAGTGATCTAAGGTTTGTGGTTTTCCTACTATGGCGGTCAAGGTCTGGTATATGTCATTCCAATGTGTCAAAAGATAGAACGAATCTGCATTTACTTTGGCTTCAATATTTCCAAGCTTTTCTGTAACTGATTCCTGTCCTATGTTATCTGTGTATTTGTACATGTATATGCAAGTGTTTGTTGTAAGTCGGCAATGATGGAAAAATTGACTGGTTTTGGATCTAATAGAATGGCTAGAGTACTATTGAATTGTATGGTTATCTCATTACTTTGACATCCTCGATGGAGATAAACTCAAGATGGAAGTGATGGACTTATTCGAGAAGGCGAGATTTTCATCTTCTTTATGGGCCTCGACAGACAAAGCTGTCAAGGATTTTTCGTTTTCCTTTTTGATTTTTCTAGATTGTAGGGATGTGCTTTTGGGTTTGGACTGTTTTGGTGTAGCTTTGAAAGCTTCTTTTTTCTTTTGTTTTGTCTCTTTCTGTGCTTGCTTAATGAGGATTTCTTATCATTTTTTCGTTGTAATTGCTTTTAATCAATGAAAGGTTGTTTTCTCATGAAAAAGATAATAAGCGTCTGTAATTATCCATAGACACACACGTAGAGATTATGTGCCTGTTTACAATGCATGGTACGGTGAAATGGGATTGTGTACTCTCACAGATTGATAAATTAATAGGGCAGAGTGTGTACCCTCATGGACTTATGAATTAATAGTGCATCCATGACATTAAATTTGAACTAGTGTTTCCTAATGTTTCTGGTGACTTATTTTCAGGAGTCTTTCGGGACGTAAGTTGAGTGGGTTTTTGTCATCTGACCTTGGGAAGCTAGGGCAGTTGAAAATTTTGTATGTATCCTCAGAAATCCAAGTTTTTTTTCCCTAATAGAAGCTGGCATGATTGGAATATTAGTATTTCTTGCGTTAGCTAATGCTGTTTTATGATGTGTCATTGTAGATCTCTTCACGATAATAATTTCTATGGAACAATTCCTTCAGAACTGGGAAATTGCACGTTGTTGCAAGGAATGTAAGAACCAAGTACCCCATTTCTCTTCTGATGTGAATATGTGTGCATGTCCACTCCTAAATTTATTTTCTATTTTTGTTCCTCTGAGTTAGAGAAAGATGCTCTATTTGCCATTTGTGCTTATTCCATGGAATATGTGAATTTGTCTCATATGCACCTGTCTATCTATGCTGTTTATTATATTCTCGATGTCCCTTCCCAATCCCTAAGTGTAAAGGAGAGTATGATTGTTTTCAAGAAATGTTTATCTAAAAATTTTCAAGCTTTTGAAATAAAAGCTTTTGGAATTTGGATTCGTCTTGAGCTTTCATGCAGTCTCTCTCTCAAATAAATAATTGTCAATTTATCCACATGGTCTTGGACCTAGCTTTTTCTTTATACTCAGGTATTTTTGTGCTTTAGGTGTAGATTAACAACTTGTAAATTTTCACATGTATATCCAAGAACCATCCCAAATAGTTCTATCATATTCTATTTTGTATTTAGTCATTGAAATGTGTGAAATCCTTTTTGTTCATTTTGAGTGAGTAATTATTCCCCTTCTCTGCCTTCTACAGTTACTTGCAGGGTAATTACTTAAGTGGCTTAATACCAAGTGAATTAGGAAGGCTTCAAGAGCTGACAAATCTGTGAGTTTGCTTCTTGTCGGTTTTTTATGTCATTTGTGCCTGCAGATAGGTTTTTATTAATATGGAGGTGCATTCTATTAGAAAATTTATGCAGGACCTTTTACTTATAATCAGGTTTTTTTCCTCCTGTTTTAACAATATTATAATAGTTTTTTGATGCTGGTAATCACGTGTTTGGTTAATATTGAGCAACTATCCGCCTAAGACCTCTTGGTCTAGTGGCACTAGGGGTTTGGGTGGGGGTTTGCGTGTTCAATCTTGTGTTGTAGCTAAAAAAAAAAAAAAAAAATATTGAGCAACTATCCTATTCCAATTTCCCATGATTGACCTAGATATGTTTTCTTATTATATTTATGTACTACTAGTCTGGATGTTATCAGTTTTATCATGCATGCAATTTTTATTCATTTCTTTTGATTTAGCTTGGAACAACACTCTGGTTGCTCCTAGTTTGTAGTGAAAGACAGTTGTGAAGGTTGAGAAGAAATATACTCTAAATTTTAAGCTACCAAAATTCTCTGTAATGTATATAGCTCTTTCAGGAGGCAATTATTAGTTGATTTATGCAATAATTTGCAGATTAATTTCCAAAACACCATCTTTTCTTTTTGAAAAGAATATACCTAGGTTATCTATGTAGAGAGTATTTTTGATATTGGCAAGTAATTTTCTCAAATCTTTGTTTGGTTTGAGCTAATTGTCTTCGTCAAGTGTCACCCCATTTTAACTAACTAGTTCCATTTATGGCATAGGGTGTATCATAGGACGTATCAGTAAACAATCTTAAGAGTGCTGTAGACATCAACGGGGATGCTGAGTTGGTGGAAGAATGGGTTTAGGATTCTATGATGTGAAAGGATAAGCTTAAACAGTGATTTTGATTAGGGAATTTTTTTTTTTTTGTTGTTGAAATTCATATTGGTATCCTGTGTTTTAGCATAATAGTCTTTTAGTACCATTTTTTGGGATATAAAATGTCAAATTTACCCTTCTCATTAATTAATCCAAAATTAATAAATTTAGAAGTTCTTTCAAAATTTTTAAACCTTTGAAAATTAAAAAATAAAAACTTATCTCATTCTCAAAAAAAAAAAAAAAAAAAATTCTTCCTATTTCTCTCTTCTCTCTCTCTCTCTCTCTCTCTCTCTTTTCTCTCTTTCTTTGGTGAGCCCAGCCCCGGTGAGCCAAGATGTGACGAGCCTTGCCGTGCCGACCCATTGTGCCCTCCTCCCTCTCCAGCCCCAGTGACCTAAACCCATTGCGCCCAGCCCTGCTTTCTTCCCTCTCCAGCCCCAGCGACCTAAACCCATTGCGCCCAGCCCTGCTTTCTTCCCTCTCCAGCCTCTCTGGCCCCGGCAACCCACCTCCATATCTGAAACAACGAGCCTCCGTGAATGGTGGTGACAACATAGGGCCATGAGTCCAGCCATTCCAAGAGCCACTCTTCTGGCCCTAACCCCTCTTCATGAATCACGACCCTTTGCAGAGGCGAATCTCGCCGGAGGTGTGATAGATTTGGGATCAGAATGAGAATCTCTCCGGGCATCTACTCTGTCAAGTCTCCACTGAGGGTGTGTTTGGTTGCAATGGCGGAATGGTAATGGAATGGAATTGGAATGTGTTGGAATCATAAACTGATTTTTTTGTTTGATTGGAGTTATGGAATCAATACCTGAATGAGGATTATGCTGTTTGGTTGACAACTGAATGGAATGGAAAAAATTGTATTTTGACAAAAATACCCTTGATTAATAATCCTAAATAATTAAATATTTTAATTAATTAAAATAGTAAAAAAATAATTTAATTATTGAAAAAAACTTTTTATTTGAAGAATAGTAATTTAAAAATTATATTGCAATTGTAAAAAAAATAGTATTTGATATTTTTATGTAATAATAAATTATCACAAGCTCAAATATGATAACTTTTGGCATCTACCATGATATGTTCCCTAAAAATATAACTTTGGCCCCTGTCAATAATAAAAATGACAATATATCATTCAACTACATATATAATCCCAAAATATAGTCATATGCCAAGTGAAATAAGTTCCTAGTTAATACAATTTAACAAAGTGAAGCATAATCCTAATTAGTTACAATAGCAAAAGAAAAGTGCGTAGCACATGCACCACTATATCAAAAGAGAAATGCATAGCACATACACCACTATATCAAAAGATAATCTGGCTATGTTTTTCCACTGAAACTAAAGCAACACTGAAAGATAAGTTCAAAGTAAGCACTGAAACATTGATAAAGCAACACAATTGACAAGGATACAAAGGATGCTGATTAAAAGGATAAGTTCAACTCAAGAAAACCAAGTAGAACAAAAAATCTAATAAAATCCCACAATTATCTCAGACATTGTAACAAGGAAAACAAAACTGCTATTCAATAAAGCCTAGGGCAATGCTATATATCGTCCTTCAAATCTCAGCTCTTAAATCCTGCAAGATAGACAACATTTCTCTTCCTCAAGATTGATTTGAGTTGGCTTGCCCCGCACCATAACCAGTTGCTCCACGGCCGAAGCCAGGTCTTCCACCAGGACCCTGCAAGTTTTAGAAGTGTAGATGAGATGCGTGATCAAGAGTAGCACACCTTGTATCTTAAAGGAAAAACCTAGTTCGGGCATAATCTGCTTAACTCCACTTAAACAAGCAATTTTAGAAAGCAGCAAATACTACCTAAATAAGAAGCTTAATAACATAAAAGTACTATTTCAATCCACCAACAAAACACGAGACAAGAATTACCACAGAATCCATCATTACTAAAACGTAGCTCGAGATTACTAATACAGCTAAAATAACAAGCTCAATTACATAAACCAATAAATCCATCCAAACCATCAACAAATAAACACTAGAACATAATTCTCCCAAATCCACTAATACTAACAAACGCGGCAAAAATCTCAACAATATAAACCAAAAACTAATCCAAATCACTACCAGTTAAAACTTAAACACAAGAAGCAAAGGAATTACCGAGGGCGGTCGCCCCCTGGGCCACCGAGGACCTTGCTGGTGGGCTTGGCCTGCTTCTTCAAGGTAGCAGGGATGATCTCAGAAGGAAGGTTGAGGTAGGTCCTCAAAAATACACAAAAAAATTCAACCCAAAAATAATCAATCCAAATTCAACCCAAAAAAATAATAATTATCCAAAAAACAACATGATCAGACAACTTGAGATTGGTAATTTAGAAAATTTGAAAACTTTCTCAGACTTGTTGCTACCAATTTCATATTTGTAAATATCAAATCCGTGTAATATGAAAATCACATTGCCGTTTTCCGAGTGGAAAGCAATCACAAATAACATGTAGCTTGTCTTCTCCATATCAAAATCTGAGAAAATGAATATCATTATCCAAAAATATGATATTCTTGCAAAATCCGAAATAAAAATCGAACCAAAATCCAAAATCGAATCCACAAATCCAGAAATCAGCGAGCATGAAAACAAATAATCAAAACAGCCAATATGTGAACCATTGCATTATCTCAAATTTCAGAAATCTGAGAAAATGAATATGCAGAAGCAAGAAGAATCCGAAAAATCCAAAACCTAACCGAGAAAAGGAAAAGAAAAATTAAAGAGAAAACTAGTTTCTGAGATGTTAACCGTAGTAAGAAACAATGTTAGGGCTTTGATTACGGATCCATAACGAAAATGAGAGAAGATTTCAAAAAATCAAAACGAAGCCAGAACAGAGGGATCTCCAAGAACCACAAAGGAAGAAGAGGGAAGATTGTACCTGCGGTCGTTTCTCGTCGCCGGCGTCAACAGTCGATCGACCTTCCGTCAGTCAAGTGTCTGCGCTGGCCTCAGTTGGAGTCGTGGTCGAGGGGAGATGCGGCTAGGGTTCTTTTTCTTTTGATCGGGGATGAGGGGGGACAAGGGCCAAATTGGGGAAAAAAAATAAGAGGGCTGAATGGAAAGGCCATTCAAGTCACCCCCCACCTGAATGAGGATTCACTCAAATTGAGTGAATCAGCTTTCCCACGGAAAGCCTTTCCTAGCCAAAATAAAGCAACCAAACAATGGAATGATCGGAATGATCTTTCCTTTCTATTCCATTCCTCCTAACCAAACGTACCCTGAATCTTCAACTTCCCTCCCCTCCTAAGAACTCCCACCGTACGTCTGCAATACAATTACAGAAGTATCAGATATCTTACTTTCATTTCACAAATGGATCTTAGTGCAAGTTCAAAAGCAGGCATGTATAAGATTATAGTTTACACGATCTCATCAAATTCAAAAGCTCCCACATGCCATCTTCCTTTTGGGTTTTGGTTAGCTGCAACACATAGAGGCAAACCAAACACTGGTTTGCTTAAAAATTTTCTACAGATTGAATGTTTCTACAAAGAGAAATAAAAAGAAAAAAAAAAAATTTTTTTTTTTTTTTTTTTTTTTTTTTTTTTTTTTTTTCGATCCTATGTTAGATATCTTATTTTGATTTCATAGAAGAAACAAGAATGGATCTGGAGTTTGTTTAGTCTTTGGTTTTGAGTTTGATTATTGTTTTGGGTTTATTTTTTTCGATTTGCCGAGAGAAGGGAGAGAGTTTGGAGAGAGAGAGGAGAGAGAGAGTGTGTTTTTTATTTTAAGTTTTTTATTTTTAATTTTTAAATGTTTAAAATTTGTTCAGAATTTTTCCTAAATTTATCAGTTTTTGGCTAATTAATGAGAGGGGTAAATTTGACGTTTTATGTCTCAAAAAATGATTTTAAGGTACTAAACAACAATTTTTATAGCGTCGAGATGCCAATTTAAAATTATTGAAAACACAGGGTACTAAAAGATGATTATACTAAGACACAAGTATCAATGGGCACTACGTATGAGTTGCATTTCTTTATTTGTCGAGAAAATTTTGGGGTTTTAGTTCTAGTAAGATTGCTAATTTTTTGGGGACGTACTATTATGGTAGTGCTTTGCTAATTTTGGTTATTCGTCCTTGTGGTAAAGAGTGTTGTACCTGGATTCGACGATCATATAGTAGGTGTGTCACAGGTGGCTTCTCCCTTTTGGTTGTCATGAAGGGAGAAGGTCCAACTTTATGTATTATTTTAAGCTGGAAGATTGTGTAGCAATTCTGTTTGTAATTTATCCTTTGTGTATTTTGGACTTGGTGCACTGGTTGTTCTCCTCAGTGTAGTTTATAAGTTTATGTATTAATTTAAATTTTGGTTTCCACCAAGCAGAAAAGAAAAAGATATAAGAAAAGTATGTGGATAACAGGAATTGAACTTCGCTAAAAGAGAATAGAACATAAACAACTATGAGATCAATACAAAAATTTACATGAATTCTTTTGTAGAGGAAGCCCGTGTAGTGTAGACCCCCAAAATTGAACTGGTCATCAAATTTCCTCAATTTCCAAGGATCTTTGTCCTATCGGTTTGTGTTTTCGGTATAACATTGAGTACGTTGCTGCTTAACCAAAATATTAATAATGACACTACAATTTTGTTCTTTGTTTTTGTGTATTCCTCATCCTCATTCCTTTGTAATTGATTTATCTATCAATGAAAGGAAGTTTTTCTTCTAAAAAAAACAATACAATTTCTGAGGTATTCAACTCTCATCTCAGCTTGGGGAACTCTAATAGCAAAATAGTGGCAAAAATTAGAAATCAATCAAAGACTTATGGAACTCTGATATCACTAAATCATGATAAATAAATAAAAGTTATGTGGAATTTTTACAAAATCCCGAAAATCTCTGTTAGATGATATCTCAATGTAAAAAAGTTGATGTGGAAATTATATAATTTGTCCCCTACAGTTCGTTTGATAATTGTCTTTCAATGCACAGGGACATTTCAAGCAACTCTCTCAGTGGAAATATCCCTGTTTCCCTAGGGAAATTGGATAAACTCATTAGTCTGTAAGTAGCTTCATTGTTTTGTAGTTATGGTGATTTTAAGAGGCCTTTTCTTCAATTTGTGTTTGAATATGTTATGCTGAATTTAACATTGTGTTTTATTCTGGTGTCTTGAAGGAATGTTTCGAACAATTTTCTTGTTGGACCAATACCGTCTGATGGTGTGCTTATCAACTTTCCAGAGAGCTCGTAAGTAAAGTTAATACTGTTGTGTGAGTGAGTTCTTGATCATCACGAAAGTTAAACTAGTTTACCACACTACAGATGATGATATTAAGAACTTCTGCTTTCAAAATTTTTATTTATTGAATTATCTTTGTGTTTTATTTTCAAAATCCATGAGGGAAAGAATTATTTTTGCTTTAGCAGTTATTTTTTCATTATTTTTTAGATTTTGTTTCTTTCCAATTATTTAGTCTGTGTTATGCGGATAAAAAGGAATAGAAACAATTGTCAGGACTTGAGGTTGTCAGTTTGTAACTTGATTGACTTTCTACTTGATAGACGTTTTCTGGCATTTATATTTTTCCAGAATTACAGATTGGTAATATTGTCGTTTTTAGATGTCGTAAACCAGTGTTTTAAATGTGTGATTTGACAATTTCCTTGCAGCTTTGTTGGAAACCGTGGTTTATGTGGGAAGCAAATCAATTTGACTTGCAAAAATGACAGTGGAGGACCAGCGACGAATTCTCAATCTTCAAACTCAGGTGAGTATTAATTGTAAATAAATAAGTACAATATTTATGACTGTAGGTTAATTCTAAGTTTCTCTAGACACAAAAATCTTACAGTTTTATAGTTTTCCTGAATTTTTAAGTTGAAGCCGTTGTGGGGATTGGTAATTTCCTCAGAGTTATATTGTTGAGAACATTATAGTAGTCTTCACTGGATTATCGAAGTATGTTAGTTTCAGACTCCTCTTTCTTGCAATTAATGGTAGTAACCTACAATATCTAAGAACTTTACATTTTGTAGCACAAAATCAAGCTGGTAAGAAGAAGTACTCTGGCCGGCTACTAATCAGTGCATCAGCAACTGTTGGGGCACTACTTCTTGTGGCGCTTATGTGCTTCTGGGGCTGCTTTCTTTATAAGAAGTTTGGCAAACATGACAGTAAAAGTTTTGTGATGGACATTGGTCGAGGTGCTACTTTTAGTTACTGCTTGGGCTTTCATTTGAACATCTTTTTGTGCCTTTTCATATGCATCTTGCATTTAAGTCCCTCGATTCAGTATTCTACTAACATTTTATTTTATTTTTTATTTTTTATTTTTTATTTTATTTTGTTTTATTTTTTTACTTCAGGTGCTTCAATTGTAATGTTCCATGGAGACTTGCCTTATTCTTCAAAAGACATCATTAAGAAATTGGAGACTTTGACTGAAGAACACGTTATAGGTACTGGTGGTTTTGGGCAAGTATACAAGCTCGCTATGGATGATGGCAATGTCTTTGCCTTGAAAAGAATTAAAAGGATAAATGAAGGTTTTGATCGTTTTTTTGAGAGGGAGCTTGAAATTCTTGGAAGTATAAAGCATCGATACCTAGTGAATTTGAGGGGTTATTGCAACTCTCCTACTTCAAAGTTGTTAATTTATGATTTTCTACCTGGTGGTAGCCTCGATGAAGCTCTTCATGGTTAGATTTTCTCTCTTTTGTTTGTCCTCACCTCTCATGTTTTTGGATGAAACAGTTTTAATTGCCCTAATACTGTTATTTCATTACGCCATGAAGGGGGATGTTAGTGCTTTCCAGTGGCCCCATAATCATTTTCCATCTCAATATAAATATCTCTATAAATTTGGTAATTTTTCCTCGAGTTAAACTTGTAAGAGAAAAAGGTGTGCCGAATAGTTCTACACTAAGTAGAATTTTTCAGTGCTTTGCTCTTTAACCATTTGATAGTAACTACAAAAACATCACATGCTTGATGTATGCTGTGAAAAGAAAAGAATTTTTTTAATAATTAAAGACTTTTTTTACACACAAGGCATTTGCTTATTTTTTATGAACAATGTGGTCTGAGTCTGATGATGTCTGTTTCCTTAGCGGTTTAAGATTTTAGTAGTTGTTCTGCTTAGCTGAAATGCCCTTCTTCCATGTCGGAACAAGTGCTGAATTGTAGAAATGCGTAGGTGTAGAGTTATTTAAGTCAGTTCTCATTATTTTTATGATAGTTACATAGAAAAGTACTAAAATATCCACCTTGACATGTAGAGTCCATATCCCCCGCCCCCCAAATTCAGTGCAAACACACACACACACACACAAATTTTTTGTTTCTTGATTTTTTTTTAATCTGAGATAAATGTTATAAAAAGCCATCAAACTAGTATCAAAATAAATGTCTTCTTTCCTATGCTGGATAAGAATGCTATTTAATTTGTATTCCTGGAGACTTTAACAGCATTTGGTTTTTGTCTGAATGTTTACGGTAACTAGGTGTTAGTAAAGTTCAGTAGCAAAAATATTTAAAAGCTCACTTATGTAATCCCACAAAAGCTTCAAGATTTGTGTCATTGTATTCAATCTTTCAAGATAGCTTTAGTTTACAGGAGGAATCTACTTTCTGATGTTGGAATTGCACTTGCGCACTTGACGCCTAGTAATAAACCTGTTTGTGATTGAAATATTAATGCGTTTCAATGCATTCAGCTGAACGATCTGAGCAGTTGGATTGGGATGTGCGCTTAAATATTATTATGGGAGCAGCAAAAGGGCTAGCCTACTTGCATCATGATTGTTCACCTAGGGTTATACATCGTGACATAAAGTCGAGCAACATTTTACTTGATGGCAATCTTGAGGCTCGAGTTTCTGATTTTGGACTTGCCAAACTCTTGGATGATCAAGAATCACACATCACCACGATTGTTGCTGGAACGTTTGGTTATCTTGCTCCAGGTAACTATTTTGTATTATAATTTGATTTTCATGCTTAATTTTTTTCCCCTCTATGCAGGATCTTATTAGGCTTGTAATAGAGAAAATATACCATTGATTAGATACATACTGATGGAAGATAATAAAGCTATGAAGTTTGTTACATTTATCTTTGTCACAGTTTGACATGGTACTATCCTCTCTTTTAGCTTAATCATGACCGTTGCAACTTATTAAATGACATGCTTTTACTCTATAAAAAAAAAAAAAAGGAAGACATGCTACTATCCTCTCTCTCTCTCTCTCTTGTGTGCATGTTTCCAGATTTTGTGGCATTTATTTCTGGAAGCTCGATCTGAATGTACTCAAAAAATACGTAACTCATCCTAGCATGTAAATATTTGTTTCTTGTGCTTGTTTCAGATCATTTCTTATTTAAGACATAAGATATTATGGGTACATAATTAAAAAATACTGGGGGATTTTTCTCAGAATATAGACCATAATGAAGTTTTTCCTCTCTCTCTCGAATCTATGATGAAAATGAAAATATCACAAGACGTTGCTACATGATATTGATCATTTGCGTAAAGGTATACACAAGTTACAACGGTAAGAGTGAGTGTAGTAGTAGATAAATGAATCGCTCTGACATTCTTATATAAGATAGGCTCCTTGGATTTCTGACTTATCCACTTGATGTAGAGTAGAGGTGGAACATTATGTGTTCTATTCACATAGCATTTCAAAGTTTCTTTTCCTGAGTAAATAATTACTTGACTTCATTGCAGAGTACATGCAGAGTGGCAGAGCGACTGAAAAAACTGATATATATAGTTTTGGGGTCCTGGTGCTTGAAGTGTTGAGTGGAAAGCGACCCACGGATGCTTCTTTTATTGAAAAGGGCTTCAACATTGTTGGCTGGGTATGTTCTCTTTGCTAAACGGATTCTAAATCTCTCTCTCTGTCTCTCTCCCTCTCTTATGAAAAAGAGTTTAGAAAAGGTACAAAAGGAAACATAACTAGAAGTTCTATTCTTCCTGAAAACAAAATCAAGCGATGCCCATGCCCTATATACTTGGAGGATCCTTTGTCACATTCAGACAAAGCAATTCCTCATTGTGATCCCAAGAAAGCAGGAAACTGAATATATGTCGCAAAACCCACCACCTTAATCTCTCTCTCAACCCCCGACCCTAATCTCTCTCTCTCAACCCCCCACCCTAATCTCTCTCTCTTTCTCGGTAAAGCATTGACTTGTTTGGGGTAAATTGGTGATCTACCTGATTTTAAAGAGTAAACTGGTGATTTACTTGAGCTAAAAAGTAGGCATAAATTGAAAGAAAAAAAATGGACATTTTCTGAAATGGGGTCCAAAAATTTGGTTACTTATGCAAACGCGCCTTTGGCCAGTAACCTACACTTGGTATATGATATTATGTTTTTTCGACATTGCATTAGGATCAAACTGCATATTCTCTTAGTGGGCTACGGTATTAGGGGGCATGCATTTTATTGACGTTAGGGCTTAATTTTACTGTGGGGTGACTAGGAGCCTCGTAGGTCAGTTAGCGTGCTGTCTACTACTGATGATGCTATATGTAAATTTTCCAAACTTATTACCGCACCTGGATAAAAGTTCGGACGGTTTTTATAAATTGCAACCCAATGACCATTTTTCTGATCACTGGGATGATAAATAAATATCTAGTTACCTTATGTTGACAAAGATCTTCCTGGCTTCTTCAAAAGTCTCAATGTTTTCTGGGGACAAACTACCCAAGGTGGCCAACAACTGTACTATTTCCAGATTATGTAAGCGTTAACATTGTTTCTTTCTAAATCTTCTACGAAAAGTAACCAATGAAAACATATCTGAAGAAACAAGTCTTTTGGGGTAGGTCTTGATCAATGTCTGTAAAGAACTTACATGGTGAGCTATTTAGCTTATCTGTTCTGTCATGTGCTTTCGTGGCTTTGAGATATCGGAGATAAATTATGGTCCTCCAACAAAAAGTACATTTTCAATAGAACTCTATAATTGCCTTTAATGAAAGGTTTTTACCAACCCGTCTACTCAACCTAAGTAATTCACATTTTGGAAGTTATAGAAAAAAATAAATTCAAGGTATTTTGTCAAGCAGCTGATCTGTTTTTTTTTGGCAGTTAAATTTTCTGGTAACGGAGAATAGGCAGAGAGAGATTCTTGATCCGCTGTGTGAAGGAGTGCAGTCTGAAAGCCTTGATGTGTTGATCTCAGTTGCCTGCCAATGTGTTTCGTCAAATCCTGAAGATCGGCTGACTATGCAAAGGGTGGTCCAGGTGCTGGAGTCTGAGGTCATGACTCCATGCCCAAGTGACTTTTACGATTCCAACTCTGATTGAAAAAGACTGATTTGGTTTGAATTGGATCTCATATCCCTGTTTCTGCCACTTAAAGGAGTAGAGCAAACATTAGAAGGGGCTTCGGATCTGATAAGGTTCACATCTCTATTCAATTCGTTCATTCTTTCTGAAGATTTATGACATTTTGAAGATGGCCTTCATCATCTGTGCCCCTTTCACCATTAATCAAGCATTTTATTGGTCACCAAAGTGATTGTCGTTGCAGTTTGATGTTTTGTACTCACTTTGCCAGTGTGCATTCAACTTCTCCACGCGAATGAAGTTCTACATGGTTGAGTCATTTATTTATATCCATTTTCTTTTTTTGTTCTTTTTTCTCCCTCTTCTTTTGTAACCCCTTGTAGCCTTTTCTTATGCTTAATTAAGTGTATATTACATTTGTACAAATCAAATGTGGTTCTTTCTCAAAGATTCCTCTTTATTTATTTTTGTAAAATATGTTTTAATCATAAGCGTTAGCTCAGCTAAAAACATTGTAGTGTACTTGGCCCTGTTATAACCTTTCCTTAAAAATTACAACATTGGCACTTTTAATTTATTTTCATATTTTATTCGAAAAAAATTATTTTCATATTTATTATTATTATTTTTAACAGAGTTCAAGGTTAAATATTTACTATAAACATCAATATTGAAATTCTACTTATGATTGATAAATAAAGTGATGAATGTAAAGATAGATACAGAACTTGTAGTTCAATCTCAATGTGAGGCTACATCTACTATAGTGTTTAGGTTTTTGTTATGTAGATAGAATATTACAAAAGAGCTTGGAAAAGCTTGAGAAAAACAAAAGTTGACAATTAGGAAAGATTGCGGCTTAAGGCGTGCGTTAGATGCCTTGAGATTGAGGGAAAGCTTCCTTTTATAGCCGATCTCCTTAGTTTCATTGATTGGAGTAGGTTTTACTTATTTGAATTTGATTAGATTTTTCCGATCTTGTACTTAGTCAACTTTTATTGTAGAATTCGGACTTGGTAATAAGGAGTGCCTTAATTATGATTTGGTAACTCTAAAAATTCCTAAATAAAAGATTCCATTAAAGATTATAGATCCTTGGTGATATAGACTTAAGTGTTACCGTTCTGGATTGATCTAGATTCTGAGATGATTTTTAGTTGTCTTTAGTCAATAATTTCTTGAGAAAAGGAGATAAATATCTCTTAAAGTGCATGAATCTGGACTTTTAATCCTCAATCTTGATTAATATCATTTTTTTGTTAAGTAATTATACTAGTTAAAATGATATTAATTAAGAGTAGGGAATAAAAATTCAGACCCATACACTTTAATTTCTTTTGAAAGGTTTTTGTGGTTGATCTGCAAATTTAGTCGATTCGAGGTGAAACGTGGACGATTGAGATTGAGAGACAAAACCTAAAGGCAATGGGTGCGTTTAAAACTCGTTTTAAAATGATTGTGTTTTTTGTATGAAAATGGAAATGAAAACGTTTTCAATCTCGGATAGAAATCATTTTTGAAAATGCATTTGGTACTTTTATCAAGAAATTATTTTCAGTATAAAAAAATCCATTAATGTCTCTCTACTCGAGAGAGGAGAAAACGGAAACAAAAAATGACAAACGGCTAAAAGTCATTTTTCATTTATCTCCCATTTTAAACTAAACCAAAAAATCATTTTTATTTCTGTTTTTTGTCTTTAATTGTGTCAAACGCCGTTTCTCTCCCGTTTTTATTTTTTTTTTCCACAAAAAACGTGAACAAAAACAACTCTAAATACAGCCAACATGTCCCACATGGATTCAAAATGATTCTAGTATTTTTTTTCCTCTTCCTCTTTTTTTTTTTTTTTCAAAAGGTAATAATGTGCTTCAGTTTGTACATACACATCCAAACCAAGCAAATAAAATCGTTTATCGTACTTTATTGATAAATGAAAGAACCTGATGTACCACAATTCTCCTAAATTTTTATAAATATGCAAGTGTTTAAGATTATAGAATAAATATTTTTCAGGTCTTATTAAAAAAATTTCTGAAAATTATTAATTTTTTTCCCTCCCGTTGTCAAGAAATCTCGACTGAAAAGTATTAATATTTTTTTATTTGAAAGTTCTCTCCTTTTTTTTTTAAATTTTTTTTCTTTTTTTTGCGTAATAGCCGCCAAAGGAGAAGTTTTGGTCAAAACATGAGAGTCACAAGAACGTGATTATAAAACACCTCACCACATAAAATAATGAATCTAATTATAGCTGAACTTGGACCCCACGCTACTCCAATATGCTTGGTGCCCAAGAAAATTCCATTCCACCGCTTTTCTTGATCGTTTTAAAACACCGATGCATTCATAACTATAAATAAATAAATAAATAAATAAATAAATAAATAACCTGTTGCAAAAATCGGCTGCTCTTATTTACCAAAATAACCCTTTTCCCATTTTCCAGTCATTTTTTATTTTAATCGCTTTGACGAGTAAGAAGAGGACCCCATGTCCCCTTCCATAAAGTTATATTTTTGACGAAAAAAACATATTTTACTAGGATGCCAAAAATGTTCTTAGACACTCTTATTGTTGACGAGATTTTTGAAAATTGATCATAAGTTTTTCTTTTTATTCGATCAGATACTTAAGAAAGAAAAAAAAAAAGAAAAAAAGGAAATGAAATCAATTTTAAGGAAACTTCTTTATGAGCCAAGAAACATCCTATAAAGCGTGTCCTAAATGAAGACCACACAGGTCAGCACCGTTCAAGACCAACTCATACCCGTCAACTACAAATGAGTTGTCAACTTCGCCTAAACCATTCACCAAACAAAAAAAAAAAAAAAAAAAAAAAAAAAAATCCAAACTGTCCCTGTATATATTTAAACCCTCCCTTAAACCCTTCCTTCCACACATAAATCAGAAACACCAAAAACCACAAATAAAACCAAAACTAAACGACAAAAACATCCAACGCCTACTTCTTCTTCTCCTCCATTAATCCCAGAAAACAAAATCTCTCTTCCTTCCTTTGCATACAATTCTCTGTCTTCCGTACAAAATTCAATACGTGCACGTACATACGTACGGACGTGATGATGTCGGTTATGAGTCGAAGTGGGGCCTCCAAGTGCTCCTCCATGCTGGCCGTGGCCGGCGCCCGCCTCTTCTCAGCCGCCACCGCTCGTGCTGTCGTTAACGACTCGGCGGCAGCGGTGGCGGGTTTCTCGAGGCCATCGCGCGCCGTGTTTTGGGTCCAGAGGGGCTACGGCGGCGGAATTAGGAGCTGGAGCACCGTCGCGATCGGCGATGAGGAGCCGGAGAAGCGGGCGGCCGAAAACGGAACCGTTTCGGCATCCGAAAATGAGGTGAACGAGAAGGCAGTGGTTGTTAGCTACTGGGGAGTCTCTCCCAGCAAGATTACCAAGGAAGATGGAACTGAATGGAAATGGAGCTGCTTTAGGGTGAGTTTTTTTTTTTTTTTTTGTTAGAGATTTTTTTTCAGGAAAATATTGGAATAAATAATTTATTAGAGGATTTATTTATTTATTTATTGGTTTGTGATTAATTAAGCCATGGGAGACGTACAAATCTGATGTGTCGATTGATCTGAAGAAGCACCATGCTCCAACAAACTGGATGGACAAAATGGCTTATTGGAGTGTCAAGTCCCTTAGATGGCCCACTGACCTTTTCTTTCAGGTACCTGTTACCTGTCTATGCCTTCTTCTTATTTGTTTGCTACTTTTTTATTTTATTTTTTATTTGGAATTCAATTTTCTTTTAAACGAAACAGAATTATTTGTTTTTTATGAAAAAATAAAAGGATTACTAATATTGTGGTAAGTTGCAAATTTTTAAAACAAAAATAACCAAGCAACCAAACAGGATGTGTTGGGGGAAGATTCCACCAATTATTTTCCCTTTCTTTAAAGAAAACAATTTAAATGCGTATTTGTTTACGACAAGTTTTTGGTGTTTTAGTTCAAATCAGCTTGCTAATACTAAAGTTACTAACCATTGTTTAATGTAGATTTTCAAGCAAAAATCTTATCATGGATCTTTAAACAAAAAAAATACAAAAATAGGTTAAGTTGGAATTTTTAAACAAAAGTAACCAAGCAACCAAAATTTGTCGGGTGCATATTCCCTATGATTGCACATGGTTTAATCTAGATTTTTCCATTTCTTTAAAGAAACCAATTTAACATACATTTTTGAATACTTCAAGTGCAAATTAACTTTTTAATATTAAAATATCTATGATTAGGCAGAGAGGGCTACTTTTTATATGAAAAATGCTTCTAATTCGGACCGATTGAGTGGAGATGAGATAATAAAATGTGGGCCCCATCATATATTTGGATCGGGAAATTCAGTAGTAGTCTTTTCATGTTGGTAACCATAAAAATGTGATAATATATTACAGAGGCGATATGGATGCCGAGCAATGATGCTAGAGACGGTGGCAGCAGTGCCAGGCATGGTAGGTGGAGCACTGCTACACTGCAAATCGTTGAGGCGATTCGAGCACAGCGGCGGGTGGATCAAGGCGCTGCTCGAAGAAGCGGAGAACGAGCGGATGCACCTCATGACATTCATGGAAGTAGCCAAGCCCAAGTGGTATGAGCGTGCCTTAGTCATGGCCGTCCAAGGCGTCTTCTTCAATGCTTACTTCTTGGGATATCTGATTTCGCCTAAATTCGCTCACCGAATGGTGGGATACCTTGAGGAGGAAGCAATCCACTCCTACACTGAGTTCCTCAAGGAACTTGACAAAGGCAACATAGAGAACGTTCCTGCTCCGGCCATCGCCATCGATTACTGGCAGCTTCCAGCTGATGCAACATTACGAGATGTCGTAATGGTTGTCCGAGCAGACGAGGCTCACCACCGTGATGTTAACCACTTTGCATCGGTATGTGTTAACCTTTACATACACCACTCATATAATGCTAAAAAATTGATATTTTTTAACACGGATTCATTTCGAAATTGAATCTCCATTTTTCTTGAATTGCAGTTCAAACCATTTTATTAATGTATTCTCTAATAAAAAATTTAAATTTCTATTCATACTGCGAGACATTACTATTGTTGTTTACATTAGTATACTATTTATGGACTTATATGGGATTTGGATGAATTTTTTTTTTCCAAATTGCAGGATATACATTATCAGGGACGCGAGCTGAAGGATGCTCCTGCTCCATTGGGATATCACTAAATTAATGCATGAGATTAATTATTACTTCAACAATGGGAGTCTGACATTTGAAGGATAAAAGAATATTATTTAGCATGAAAGATCGGTGCTGCTGGAGACTGTATATAATAAAGTGAAGGTGGTTATTTCTAGTTGTTTTTCAGGGCTTGAAATCCTGGAGGACCTTTTTTTTTTTAAATCCTGGTTTGAATTAGTCTTTGTGGTGATAATTCTATGCTGTATCTGGTATTAAAATTGATGAAATCAAAGCCTAATGGTTTGGTTTTTTTTTTTTTTTTTTTTTTTTTTTTTTTTTTTATGGTAATGCTAATTTATCTTCCTGAATAAGCTTTCATTAGAATAGTAATTTAGACTTCCTATGATAATTTGAGCTTTGCGGGAAAAATTACAAAATTACTCTCGAGTTCAAACTAAAAGCGTGGTCGTATGCATTCTCAGGAATTACAAAACGGAATGTAAAGAACAAAGTTTACTACAATTTTTAGAAATCAGCTTTTGACTTTCTAGACTCAAAATATTGAAATCGAAAAAGAGCGAGTTGATATGAGAATTTGAGTTGAAAAAAATATTAAAGCATAAAAGTTGAATTTGAATTGTGAAATAATCAGGGTGTAAAACCTGTAGGATATAAGTATGAAAAAAGAGTCTAATCTATTGAATCAATAGATTTATCGCAATAACTCCCTTACTATTGCGATGCATTTGATATTCCATTTTTCAATTTAGCACTCATTTTGTGTTGTAATTTACGAACTTGGTCTTCCTCACTTTATAATTCTATTGTGCCAATATTATTTATTTAAGTTGTGTAATTTAAATTTTAGCATATCTTTTTTTTTTTTTCTTCGCTTTGTAAAACTAACCCTCTTTGCTTTTTGTTTATTTAGTATGACTTGTCGACCCTGCCAGACTTGGAGATCATGTCATGATTTGTGTGCTATTTAGGTAACAGTTTGTATTTCTGTTACCACAATATAGGTTACTGCCATTTTCTATGATATGTTTTGCTGTTTTATTTAAACAGTGAAGTCTTAACACATTCCTTGTAGATGCATGCATTTTTTTTTTCGCCTTTTAAATCATTATTCCATATTCCATATGAACCAATATTTGACAAAACTTTTTTGAGACTTGAATCAAACCACTGATTTGATGTTTTGAACCAAAAAAGCTTAAGAATATGAGTTTAAGTCCCTCTTGTTTTCAATGTTTTGAACCAAAATTCAAACGACATATTTCAAACTTTTTGTTCCAAACCACAAAAGTTCAAAACCACCCTGTTTTGAACATATTTACTAAATGGATCCGAATCCTTTCGTTATATTATTATTTTTAAATTTCCTTTTTCAGTGGGTACTTATTTGTTTGGGTTGACTCTAGGCTCAAGATCGTCAGTCACTGGTTACTATTCGCGAAACCGAGTGACTAATGAATTATTATGCAGACAAGCATTGCCACTTGGTGACGAGTAGTAACTCACTTAGTAACTTGGTAAACCAGAGCCAATAGATGACTGATGATCACCTACTAGCTTGAGTGAGGGACAATGGTGGATGACCAGTAACCCACTGGAATGAATATGGTTACCCATGGTGAGTGACTCTAGACACCGAGGACTGTGGGAGCTAGAGAATAAAAGACTACTTAAATAATAAATGGTTTTGTTCGTCTCACCAAATAAATCACAAGTTAAAATTTTTACTCTAGTCCTTTTTCTCATAAAAATTTAAATTCTACGTTTTTTGTTATAACGTTTTCTCTCATATAAATTTATTTTTCAACTTAAGTACTCAATTCGAATGAGCGAAACGAACGGAACATAATTATATCAAAAAAGAGAGTGAAAAAGACGCATAAATATAATGCTTATTCACAAGGGTTATAAATCTTTATGAATGTCAAGATGGGGGAAGTTATTTGGGGAAATAGATAGGAATGTGTCCCTCGCATAAAGATTTTATGCCTTGAATTATTTTATTACATATCAACTTAAAAGAGCATAAATCAAAGTAAAATGTACAAAACTAAAGAGGTGTTAATAACGGGACAAATTTTCTATTTTCCTCTTCATTTAGTTGTCCCTCATGTTTTCCTAACTTAGTAGATATGAATCAAGCCGATTACTAGCCCAAATTCTCTTAGGTTTAGTCAATTTGATTCATATATGTATTTTTTTTTTCACACTTATTAGTTTCTAATTATGGGATCTTAGGAATTGTTTACTCGCTTGCTCTTATTAGATCTCACAAAGAAAGTGAGAGATTTGAGAACAAAAAAAAAAAAAAAAAAAAGAAAGAAAGAAAGAAAGAAAATGAGATAAATACTTCTTTAAATAGTATCATTTTGTTGTTTGACCCATAAATATTGGCCCATTAATTTTTACTCAACAAACTAGATTAGTCAAAAATAGTATTAATCAGGGTAAAAATTCAAACTCATAGTTCAATGATTTTCTCAAAAAAAAAAAAAAAAAAAAACAAAAATTGTATTAAATAGTAGACTTATGAAACTAAATTAAGTGAATAACATATTTTAAAACTATTTGAAGTAATAGCAGTTTGCAGTGTAGATTTTTTCATTTACAATCGGTAAAAAATAATTTACACAGTAAAAAATTTTTATTTACGTAAAAAAAAATCTTTTTATCAGTCATAAAAAAAATTTACGTGGTGATTTTTTTTACTAGTCGTAAAAATTACATTTACATGGCAAACACTATTTACTTTAAATAGTTTTTATTAAAGAATGAAAGAGAAAATAGAGAAAAATAAGAAACAATCCTTCATTCCTTGAAAAGAGGTACAACCGAATGCACATATATAGAGAGGCCTTAGATTTGATTCACACAAATCTTACCTCACACGATAGCTGGCATAACAGAAAAAGAAATACATAAAATATGACAATATGCTAAAATTCTAATACTCCCCCTCAAGATGGAGAATACAGATCGTGAATTCCCATCTTGCTCAAGAGAAGATGAAATTGAGAAGAATGTAGAGCCTTAGTAAAAGGATCTGCCAGCTGATTGTGTGTCGCTATATACATTGTTTTAATGATCCCATCCTGTATCTTTTCTCGCACGAGATGACAATCAATCTCGATATGTTTGGTGCGCTCAGGATAGATGGGGTTGGCTGCTATATGAAGAACGGCCTGATTGTCGTAATAAAGTAACGCTGGACAATGATGGTGAACACACAGCTCACGAAGAAGGCCAAGGATCCATACAATCTCATAGGTGGTGTTGGTCATGGAGCGATATTCAGCTTTTGCCGAAGAACGAGAGACAACTTGCTGTTTCTTTGATCGCCAGGAAATGAGAGAAGAACCAAGAAAAATACAGAAACCAGTGAGAAAGCGATGCGTATCAGGGCAGGTCCCCTAATCTGCATCCGCAAAGGCCTTATGCTGAAGTGTAGAATTAGAAGGGAAGAAAAAACCTTGTCCTGGAGCTCTCTTGATATATTGCAAGATGCGAAGTGCTGCTTGGAGATGTGGAGTTCGCGGAGCAGCCAAGAATTGACTGAGGCGATTAACTGAATAGCTGAGATCAGGCCTGGTAATGGTGAGATAAATCAACTTGCCAATCAACCGTCTGTAACTGGTACGGTCAGTGAGCAATTCGCCATCCGAAGCGGATAATTTGAGGTTCAGTTCCATAGGAACAGAAGCCGGTTTACACCCCAAATACCCTGCACCAGAAAGCAATTCGAGTGCATATTTTCGTTGGCAGATTGATATTACAGTGTTGGAACGAGCAACTTTAAGACCCAAAAAATATCGTAGAGCACCCAAATCTTTCATCTTAAACCGTTTGCTCAATGTTAACTTAAGAGCATCCACTGATTCTTAATCATTGCTAGCAATGACAATATCATTGACATATACCAAGAGTGCTAAAAAAGAATGCCCACAAGTTTTGATGAATAAAGAATGGTCACAAGCAGATTGAGTAAAACCTTCTGAAATCAAAACAATAGAAAACTTATGAAACCATTGTTGAGATGCTTGTCACAGCCTATATAAAGACTTATGAAGCCTACAAACAACATTGGAAGGTAAGGTCTCCCCCTTGCGACGAGCGTAACCAGGAGGCAAAGTCACATAGATTTCTTCGGTAAGGTCACCATGAAGAAATGCATTGGTGACATCAAGTTGGGTAAGAGACCAACCCGAAACAGCAGCTAAGGAAAGCAAAATTTTAACAGTAACAATTTCGGCAATAGGAAAAAATGTGTCAAGGAAGTCAATACCTTCTTGTTGCGTAAACCCTTTGGCCACAAGGCGGGCTTTATATCGATCCACAGTACCATCTGCATGAAATTTAGTTTTGTAGACCCATTTACATCCCACAGAATGCTTACCAGGAGGGAGTGAGACAATGGACCAAGTCCCATTGTCTTCCAAAGCCTGCAGATCCAAATTCATGGCATCACGCCACAGCGGATTCTCAATGGCTTGGGAAAAGACTTAGGTTCCGTGTGTGAGGAAATATTCAAGATAAAGTGGCTGAATGGTGAAGAAAGCTTGTGATAGCTAAGAAAGGAAGAGAGAGGATATGGAGTTGAGATTAAGGAGGAGACTGCCGAGGCAGGGGAATCATGAGTGGCGAGATAACAATGGTAATCTGACAAATAAGAGGGTGGTTTTATAATGCGACGAGGATGAGATGAAATGATAGAATGATCAGGGGCAGGAGTTGACACATGGCCGGAATGAGCATTGGGATACTTGGATGAGGTAGAGATGGGAGTGGGAAGGACACGATGACTAAAGAAGTCATGAAGGACAGATTGTGATTGAGAGTTGACGAAAGGAAAGATGGTTTCATGAAACTGCACATTCGGGGATGTTGGTAGCTGAATCAAATTCGGATGCAGAAGTGTGGCGGGGAGGCGGATCGTGTATAACAAAAATTTTCATAAAACTTTTGAGATACTCTATAGATTATATTAATTTATGCACGAATAAATTAATCACATTTATTTATATGTCAAGAACTCAATTAGAAAAAAAATACCTGGAGGCCGACTCGGATGATAACTTGAGTTCTTTGACCACGAACAATCCTTGCTCCAATCTTTGTGTTTAGAAAACTAAAGTCTTCAACGTCAATTCCTTAATTCCACGTAGACGTGTGTGTGGGCACACGTGAGACAAAAACATGTTTGATTAAACACTCGAATTTTCCACAAACACTAACGCATGCACGATGTGGAATTTTTAGGAGAAAAATTTTCCTTCTTCTTGCTCTTAGGAAAATTCGGCCAG